GGGAGGGGATGGTAGGGGGAAAACAATGGAGGGGCTAACAATGTTCAAGAGGAAGTGTACTCATTACCTCACTCATGTAACTGTAACCCTCTGTATAGTATCTTTACAATAAAAAAAAAAGCTTTAACTATTTACAAGGATGTTTATATGAATGTCAAACAGCATACAAAGCTGTTCCAAAATAACAATTTTATCAAACAAGTAGAAAATTAACACAGAAAAAAAAAAGAAAATTAACACAGAATGAACGCTAGCTATGAATTAGTAAGTATTTGAAAAACTTAAACCAGTTCCGTGTGACTTACCAGTTCATGGGAAGTTGCTACAATCTGGTGAGAATTCAGTCACATTCACTGTTATTACATCCTAAGACAGAGACCAAACTGCGAATTTGAAAACCAGGAAATTTAGACAGCAGGAAATAAAATTCCAAGACTGTAGTTACTTACATTGTGAACGCCTAAACTCTTCCAGACTGCCCAGCTGATCACACCAACCCCACACCAGGCGCAAAGGGAGCCCCAGCCCAGGGCCCGCAAGGCAAGGGAGGACCCGCTCTCTGGCAAGGCAGCTGTGCCCATACTGCCCTGAAATGAACACAGAAAGGCTTGGGTAAGACAGTCAGCTCAGAAAGGATAGACATGCTGCCTGGGCTGGCTTTGAACCTGGATCCTCAGATCTCAGTCTCTTAAGCAAGCTAGGATTCCAAGTGAGAGCCACCAATAGCCAAGTATAAAACATTCTTATCTGACACAAGTTTGATTTCTTTGACAACTTTTTATAATATAAAATGCATTTTTGTCAGAAGTTATAGCTGATTCAAAGATAAATGACAAGTTGCCCTTTTTATCTACTGATTTTCAGAAATGGGTTTTGAAATCACTTAGTTATCTAATGAAGTTTTGCCACGCGTTAATAAAGTAAGTACATGGCTGGTCTTGGTGGTTCATGCCTGTAATCCCAGCTACTTGGAAATCAATGCAGGAGGATATCTTGAACTCATGGTCAGTCGAGATAAAATTAACAGAGACCCTATCTCAAAAACATAGTTCTACAAAAAGGACTAGAGGGTTGGCTGAGAAGGGGCTCAGTGGTAGAGTGCTTGCCTTGCATGCATGAGGCCTTGGGTTCAATTCCCCAGCACCATAGAAGCAGAAAGAGCTGGAAGTGGCAGAAGTGGCACTTTGGCTCAAGTGGTAGAGTACTAGCCTTGAGCTGAAGAGCTGAGGGACAGTGCCCAGGCCCAGGGTTCAGGCCCCATGATTGGCAAAAAAAAAAAAAAAAAAAGAGGTAGAGCACTTGTCTAAAGTGTGGGTGGCTCCAGTACTGGGAGTGAAAAAGTAGGATCACAGATAAGTAAACTCTGTGTATATACATTAATCCTGTATTTTCTTCAGTTTTTCTATGACCAAATAGATATACAATGCACACATAAGTTTCACTGATAGCACCTGAGTATCAAAATAGTTTTTTTAAATTAAGCTGATGTGTGAAAAGTACTATTTTAAACAAAAATTTTGGAAGGCTGAGGAATTAGCTCAATGGTGAAGCATCTGCCTAGCATATGCTGCCCTGGGTTCAACCCCCTACAACCATAAAGAAATAAATACAATCTTGACCTATTTTAATAGATCAACCAAATAATTTTTTTTTTGTCAGTCATGGGACTTGAACTCTGCCTGGGAACTGTCCCTCAGCTCTTCAGCTCAAGGCAAGCAAGCACTTTACCACTTGAGCCACAGTGCCATTTCTGGTTTTCTGGTGATTAATGGGAGGTAAGAGTCTCCCAGACTTTCCTGCCCCAGGCTGGCTTTGAACTGTGATCCTCAGATCTCAGCTTCCAGAGTAGCTAGAATTACAGGCGTGAGCCACCAGCACCTGGCTAAGAAATTTGAAAGTGAATTATCTTGCTACCTTCTTCTATATCTTCCTCTCTCTGTTTATTTAAGAGATTACAAAGACAAATTTTATGCTTGTTCAGCACATTTCAAATCCCAGTCTTCTAGGAAGTGGCGCTATGACTCAAGCGGTAGAGTGCTCACCTTGACAAAAAAAAAGAATATTCAAATCCCAGCCTTCTAGTTGAAGACTCAACAAAGACAATGAAAATAAAATGCAATGAAAATAAAATGCTTCACTAAGGAGATGATTCATCGCCTTAAACAGAAGTACTGTGGGCAGCGCCCAACTGAAAAGTTGGTTGGTCTAAAGTCCTTTCGTGTGGGCTGTAATTTGAATCTTTATAGTTAATATTTAGACACCAGACAATTGTTTAAATGACTATACTGTTGAAAGTGGTATTATTTATTCCTGGGAGGAGGGGAAGAATACCCTGCTGGGCAAGTTGTTTAGCTCATGTGGGCCTCCACTTGCAACTGTTTAGTGTGAGCAGACTCTGTGTGGGTTAAATGAATAAGGCCCTCAGAAGAGCAGCTAGCATATGCTAAGCACTTGGGTGTTAGTTAGGAATTAAGATTATCGTAAAAGTTATAGAAGATCAGATGGTGATTTTGAAGTATACTGCCTTACTGATATCCTTAAACTGAAATTTCGCAGTATAAACTCATTACCGTATGCTCCAGAACCCAAATTCTCAAGAGTGTGGAGGCTCTAATTCTAATGCTGCCCAGAGGCTGGCAGAGACTCACATTACATATGTAACCACCGGAACAGTGAGTTTCACATTGTGCTCTTAGGATTCCTTTATAAATAGGCCCTAATGATTTTCAATTATGTGGGATGTATTTATCAATATTTAATGTATTCAAAGTTGAAACTAAGAAAATTATATTTATTCATTTTTAAATAGCAAGTCTGTTATATATGAATATAATCCAGATTATGAAAACTATTCCAAAGCAAATACTGCAAAGAATAGCAATATCTTACATTTTTATTAATCTTTTATATGTCTACTTAATTAAGAAGCTGGATTTTTTTTTTGGTCATGGGGCTTGAACTCTTGGCCTGGGCATTGTCCCTCAGCTCTTCAGCTTAAGTCCAGCACTCTACCACTTGAGCCACAGTGCCACTTCCAGTTTTCTAGTGGTTTATTGATGATAAGAGTCTCACGGGCTTTCCTGCCCAGGCTGGCTTTGAACTGAGATCCTCAGATCTCAGCCTCCTGAGTAGCTAGGATTACAGGCATGAGCCACCGGTGCCCAGCTTAAGAAGTTGAATTTTTATAACTGTTTTTGGTCAAATATGCTACAAAATGTTTTTGTATTGTTTTTCTTGAAATATAAGAATAAAATTTGGGTTCAGACTGATATGTAGTTGGAAAGGGAGAACTACATTAATAGTGTTCCTTTCCTTCTTTTTAATATATCAATAGTGGACAAACAGATAGTAGCAGCCACATAGAATCTGAAATCAAATTAGTACTTTCTGTACTTTGTTACACTAAAATTCATTACACTATTTTTTACGAGTTGAATGGATTCTACTTCATGTATTATGATTATTCAATGATATTGGTCCACTATTTATTAAACAGTATTCAAAAATCCTTAACATCACCATAAAAATCTCACCAGAAATGTTGTTAATTCTGAGTGGCTGTCAGGCTCACAATGTCAGCTACATGTTGTCTAAAATCTTTTCACTTTAAAGTTTGAATTTTATCAGTGGCAACAAAGACTGACAATTGTTTGAAGAGATGAGCTCAGTTTGTTCATTTTTAACAAACATCTATAAATATCCTCTTCTAACTGTCAGTTCTTGCAAGCAAAAATCTGTTACATGGGAGAAGAAGTAGCTAGTTTATTCTGGCACTCAATCTTACAATTCGTTTTCCTACAGAAAGATACCTGACTTCAGTATAAAGTACAAATTGTGGTTTCCCTCTCCTTTACATGGAATTGCTCTAGGTCTTTTAATGACATTAATGATGGTACTGCTTCAACATGATATTCTTGTGCAAAGCTGGTTTTTGAAAGACTCCTGCTGCATTTCAATGATGAATGGTTTTATGCCATTGCCATGATCATACCATGGTGTCAGCACTAGCCATTTTACCATCTATGGCTTCTGTATCATAAGTGTGTAGATCTTACCATTGTTGTGGAAATAGCTCTGACTTCAGGGACCCACCAAAGTGATTTGAAGATTGCTAGCATCTATGGGTCACAATCTGAAAACCACGGTCAGACCATGAAAGTCACACAGGACTCAAATTTCAGAAAACAGAATGCCAAGTCATGACTATACATGTGAGATAATTCCTCACTTTCATTGGATTCTTTTTTTTTGGGGGGGGGGTCTGGTCGTGGGGCCTGAACTCTGGGCCTGGGCGCTGTCCTTCAGCTCTACAGCACAAGGCAAGCGCTCTACCACTTGAACCACAGCGCCACTTCCGGCTTTTTCCTTTTTTCTTATGTGATGCTTAGGAATCGAACCCAGGGCCTCATACATGCAAGGCAAGCGTCCTACCACTGAGCCCCTTGCCAGCCCCTCATCGGATTCTTAAAAAGATTCCTATCCAAAGGCTAAGTGTAGCTCTTTAGAAATATGAGACTTCTCCCCTCTCCCCAATTCTACAGACTGACCTCAGGGCCTTGTACATATTAGACAAGCACTCGATTAGAGACACACCACAGCCTTTTTCTTTGTATTCTGGTTTTGAAAGTTCTTTGTATTTGGTTTTGTAATTCTGCCTGGCCCACTTCTCCCAAGTAGCTGGGATTCTAAGTGTTGGCCACAATGCCCGGCTCTAAACTCAACAACTGATGCACCACCATCAGTCAGGTTTTAATGATAGCGACCACTAGATGTTATTTCTATATTCTATAATATAGATTTAATTCTTAAAGCAGCACAAGAAAACATAAACACATTAATTTTTCTGTGGAAAAGCTGCTATTTCTTGAAAACACTAACCATATTTATTATAAGGGACGTCAGTGTCACAGACCTTATTGAACCATTCGGGGCTTTTCTTTTTAGCCAATGATAATGTTGTAAGGAATCCAGCTAGCATTCCCGCTGTGGCCACAGAGCCAAGGAAAACTCCACCTGCCAGGAGGATGAATTTTAAAAAAAATATGTTACACAGTTACACAAGTAAGTGCCAGCTACTTTTCCAGTTACATTAAGTGACGTTTAAGATTCATAAAACGTTGGCTAAGCGGCTCGGGGCTGAGGAGCCGTGAACCGGGGTCCCTCTAAAGTGGTTCTCACGCGCAGGAAGCGGACGCGGGCTCCAGGGTCGGGAAGTCTGTGCGGGGATGAGCAGAGGCGGGGCGGGCACCTGGACAAGCCCAGAGCTCGGGAGACGCAGCGCGCGAGGATCCCACGGCGGAGCGCACGCCCGCCCGCCCGCCCGCCCGGGGAGGGCCCGGCCCAAGGCCAAGTTCAAGGCCGAGCCCAAGCTGCGGGTTCTCAGAGCCGGAAGTGCCCGATGCTCCCGCACCGCACAGCTCCGCACCGCACCTTTAACCAGGAGCAGCCGATCGTCCGCGGGCCCGAGGGCCTCCAGCGGGTCGGGAGGCTGCGGCTCGGAGCCCGCCCTCGCCATGTCCGAGTCTCCGCGGCCGCGTGTCCTTCACGATCGGAGTCCGGGTGGCAGCGAGCGCAGCCGGGGCAGGAAGGTTCCGCGGCCGCGCCCTCCGTGCAACCCGAAGACGGGTCCGTGTGCCGCACCACGGCGGTCCCCCAATCCCAGGCGGGAAGCGCGGCAGCGGGCGGCGGCGGCACGCGGG